TCATATGCTTCCCCGTCAACCTCGATAGTGGCCGTAAAATGACCTAGCGTTTTAAACAATCCTGAACCCACACCTCTGAAATTGACGCGTTCATTTATTATTCGCGGAGTTCCGATCTCAGCGTAGGCGCTTTCCCTTATTAACGTGATCTGACTACCCGTATTTATTAGCGCAGAAATTTCCGCATTGTTTATCATAACAACCTTTTTCACATACTGCTTATCTCCCGAGAAATCCCCACCGACCCGAACTATCGTCACCGATGGTGCCCTTTTRGGACACCCAGCAGAAATGTGACCGAAACCCTGGCAGCTGTAACATCTCATGCCCCTCTCCCTCGACGGACAGAATGCCGCTCGATGTCCTCTCTCTCCGCAATTGTGACAGTCGTCGAAGACTCGTTGTTGTCCACCCGGTCTTTGCTGCCCCACCATTCCCATAGGTCTGCGCCCTGTTGACTTTCCTTCGGCTTCTTCCGACCTCCTCCATGCCCGGTTAGCCTCGGGCCCTGTCGGCAGCTGTATCTTCTCAAATGCAGTAAAAAGTTCGGATCTGTCTCGGAATCCCCTGATCCTCGCCGTGTTCTGCAAGGTCGTGTCAGGGATTCCGTCGATCAGATATTCGATCAGTTCTTCCTCACTGACGGACGCACAGTTCCCCAGGATCACCATATCATGGAAATATTCACTGAAGCGTTCACCATGCTTCCACCGTCGTCGCATGAACTCCCTTTTCCTATCGACACAAGAAGGGAGATGTTGAAACATCTTCCTTATTTCATATAGCAGTTCCTCGTTCGTCATGTCAGCATACTCCGCTCTCGAGTGAAACCACTCTGCAGCTTTCCCTTTTAAACGTAGCCTAAACAGCACTGTAGCTTCTCCGTCCGATAAATGGTGTATCCTTTTTAAGGCAAGGAACTGCCGTTCCCAGTGATCGTAGGGAGTCTCACCGTCGTAATAATTTAGCATCTCCGCGACCGTCGTCAATTCTATCTGCGGGCGACTTAATTCCTCGCGCCTCATCGCGACTGAATTGCGTTCCACCGTAACTCTGTTCTCGACCGGAGCAGTCATTGATTGTTGAGAGAGCTCCTCAATCTTCTGCTGCAACTGTTTTATCTCCTGACGAAGCAAACTTTCTCGTTCCTCAGCGCTCGTGGTTGCGCCGCAGAGAGCAGCCCCGTTGTTCTTATCCTTTCTCGAAAAGATTGTATGCGCTTCATCCTGAAGCTCCTCTTCCGAATTCCTTGAAACTCGCACACCGCTTAACTCAATGTCTATTAGCCTTGAAATCAACTCCGCCTTYGAGCCTACCGTGGGTTGGTTCAATTCCCGAAGCCGCTCTTTAAGCTGCATCACCGTTAATTCACCGTATGAATTGGTATCCATTTTCAAACTCAAGATTTCACTATAAAGTTCACCGCTATCTCTATATCTTCTGTATCTCCGTAGCACCAGACTTTTGATGTAAATCCCGGACGAGCCCCCAATTTGTAGGGAAATCAATCGTTCTGTATCCGGCTAAGGATATCTAATCTTCCCGTATTGCCAACACTACTTGAGATACAAAAGATATTCTTTATTTTCACAAGTTATTGTTTATTACAGTTACAATATAAGTACGCTTCGCAACTTCTCACACTCACTCAGACCTCACACAGTCACTATTCACTCGCTATTCTTTCACTATTCACTCGCTAATCACGTTCGTATCGAATCGTTCGCTACCGTCGCTCAGTTCTCTCTACCCTCCTCCCGAAAACGCACTGCACGCGTGACCGTCCTCTCCTTAAGAGGTTTCTCCCCTACCCTGCAGCCCCGAGGGACAAAACATTTTCGAATCGTTCTCGAATTTTCCCAACGTCCAGCTCGGTCCAATAAACAAATCACTGATATCGCTCGAGAACCTTCCAGCTCACACCGACTTACACACACAACTTCTTCGCTTACAAAAGAGCAGTCCAAACACCGTCTTTCTTTATTTCGATAGTCTTTCGTTGCCTGCCTACTTATCTGTGTTTACTCTTTGATATTCAACACTCCCCACAATATTATTCTCTTATTTTGAAAAATATACTATTTTTAAATTATTTAAGTGACCAATAAAATCCTAATAAATTGTTAATTATATTTATTTAAAAAATTGACCAACAATGCACTGCAATCTTTTTGCATTTATAATTTTCGATAGTATATAATAAAAAATAGGTCATTAAATACATTTAGAAATATTTATATTTACCTAATTAGGTTTGTTTTAGTATTAAAACAAAATTAAATGCCGAAATAATGAAAGAAATAATTTTTAAATTAAAAAAAAAAAAATAGAAAATAAGTTCGACTCATCTGGAAAAAGTATTAGGTTCGAAATGAACGAAAGTTTAAAAGGAAGAAAAAAAAATTAAAAATACCAAAATTTGAAAAATTTAAGATTTTTTTCCAAAAAAACGGAATTTTTTATAGAATTTAAGTTCAAATATGTTTTTAATATTTTTTTCAAAAAGTAGATTTAAAAAAAAAATGTAAAAAAAGAAGAGTTCCGATAAGTCTATTTTTGACAAAGTTATGGAACGAAAATTTTGAATTTTTGAAAAATTCCTAAATTTTTCTGTGTTGAGCAAAAAAATTTAAAAAAATTCTCAAAAAGCTTTTTAATATAGTTAAAAATGATAAAAAAGTTTCAACAAAATCGAAAGGGGTCGGGATCTAAGGTGATCGATTTGACGTAGAATGCCCCATATGTATATATTATGTATATATTATATATGTATACATATATACGTATGTATGTATATATATATTACGTGTTTCATTTGAAAATGAGTCATAGAGAATATGTCATACTAGGAGTATCTTTCTCATATTAAAACCAAGGTCTGCTTACCTTTCTGTATCAATGCAGTAATAAACTGTTGAGGTAGAAACAATAGAAACAAAGAATAGAATATCGTCATCAAATCACATTATACAGGATATTTCAAAACATTTGTAAAAAGAACTTTAATGAACCATATATCTTATAGGAAAAATATATTTTTATCTAGGAACATTTGTTCTCTAATGATTCGTTAACGTATTAAGTGACCATGAAGATGACCATGATATATATATATATATATATATATA